TACCTCCTCCCCACCCCACCCACCACACACACACACACACACACACACACACACACACACACACACAGTTAAGTACAGATACTAATACAAATTGTTTATGTTATTAACTCTTCAGGTTGATCTTATCTAGTTTCCTGCTCTGGTTCACCTTACAGGGAGTGCTCGAGTTTCAAGACCATCTAAGTTGAGCACATGACTCGTTAATTCGAAGGATGAGATGTGGACACGTCGAAATAAGTTGTTAATGTACAGGGGAGGCGCTCTCCAAGCCTTTTTTCTGCAACGATATAGAACGATTAGCATTTTCTGGTATAGAAATAATTTGAGAAAATATTTTTGAATTTAGAGAAGTAAAATTGTTCTACCATTGAATTTTAATTTTTTTAATATAAAAAAATTAGTAACAAATAATAAGTTTAGACAGTCCATTCTATACAAGAATATATTTTAGAATAAGAAAATTTAATAAAGAAGACAATAAATATATTCTTAATAACAGCATTAGAAAAATTTAGTTTTAATTGTGTCGGAAAGATACTAACGGTTGTAAGCTTCTCGCTGTATATTTCGATGCATTTAAACTTTGGATAATGTCCGTTTAATATCTGTAAATAGTTCTGTTAGTTCTTCTACGGTTGAAGGTGATGTTGGGTATTTTGTTAGTTGTTTAAAAGAAATCCTTTTTTTGACCCCTTAAAACTAATTATATAGTTCAGATGTAGTTTATGGGTATTCCCATTGCCAGAACTTTGTACAACCATGAAAGAACAATACACCACAAATATCAGGATTAATATTTCTATAAATAAAAGGAATTATAAAATACAATATTTATAAAACTACAGTGTATAATGTTTTAAATAAACAATAACACTTACTATCTCTCGTGATAGTATCAATATTTACAATAAGTTGTAACATTATTTACATACTCTTTTGCAACATTAAAATCTGAAAGTTACCGATACAGGAAATTGGTGTCAGTCTCAACTTTTTTTTAGAAGCTTTAAATGACGTAGTTAATTAGAATGCGAGGTAGCTTTTAAACGTAAAACTAATTTTTTATATATATATAGAAAGAATAATAAGTGAACTGAAAACAAAACCATAACGAAATAAAAATATGATTTGCTACCTCATATTCCTTCCTCTTTCGAAAAAGAAAGTGATTACATTAATCACTGTTCATAAAGTCCCAATTTTCGTATCCTTACTTTTAAAGACCTCATTATACGGACACCACGAATCCTGACTAGTTTAAGTACATATACCTTACAAAGAAAAAGCGTAGTGTTCTCAGATCTTCAGCTTCTCTACCTTCTGCTCAGATGCAGGTTACGGGAAGTTAAGTCCAAAGACCAGCTAAGCTACAATAAACTATTTAGATCAATAGATTTAAAATCATGTGATCATTATTTACATACTCTTTAACAACATTAGCATCTACAAGTCACCGTTATGGGAAACTGGTGTCAGTCTAATGCTTAAAATTGATGTGAATAACTAGATTGAGAGTTAGCGTTTACATGTAAAACTAAATATTCACAGCTTAAACAAATGAGAGAATGAATATATAAACGGTTAACAAATCCAAAACTAAATAAAAATTGAAGCTGCTACTTCACACTCCTTACTCTTCAGTAAAACAAAGGGATATCATTAATCACTGTTTCAAATACCTAATTTTAGTATCCTTACTTTTAACGCCTTCATTATACTGACATCGTCAATCCTTAACAATTTAAATACAGATACTAGTCAAGGCGAAATCATTATCTTTTCTTCTATATTCGGCTTTAGCTTCCGGCTGTAGTTCAGTTTAACGGAAGTTCATGGGTTCCAAGAACAGCTAATTTGTGATAAACTAACTACTCTCATTAAGAGATCAGAATTGATGTGATAATCACGTGCACACTTCTTCAACATTAATATTTATACGTCATCCCTATTGAAAATTGGCTGCAGTCTGATAATTTATACAAGTTTAATAATTTGGGATTAATTAGAATGAGAGTTAGCGTTTAAATTAAAAATAGACAGATTAACTAAACGACAGAAATTATTGAATGGTAAACAAAATCATAACATAAAAACAGAATTTGTTATCTCACACTCCTGCCCTTTTCGGAAACCGAAGTGATTACATTAATCATTTTTAAACTTCCAATTTTCGTATAGTTACTTCATTATACTGACACTATGAATCCATTACAGTTTGAGAAACCTTACAAGTAGAAATAATTCATGTTCTCGAATCTTCAGCTTGATCTTTTCTACTTTGCTCTTCTGGTTGAAACTATAGAAAGATTGAGTTCAGAGATTAGCTTGATTGAGCAGAAGACAGAAGTCATTAGCATGTTATGTCGAAGGATGAGATGTGGATACACCAGAATTAGTTGCTTATTTTGTTGGCCACATCTGCAAGCCTTCTTGCGGCATTTAATTTTCTTAAAATGCTCAGGATTATGAGAATGGTGTCAAGGAATTTTAACTGGAGAAAATAAAAAAGTATATAATCTTTTAAATTAAAAAAATATCTAATCATAACCAGTGTGTTTGGACAGTCCATTCCAATTTAAGATAAATTTTAAGTAAAATTATTTATTGAAGAATATAAACGTATTCATTATAATAATAGTACTTGTAAGGTAACTACTTTACATTGCGACTTACCGTTACTAACTTGTCAACATTAAATCTGGTCTTCTGTATAATGTCTTCAAATGGTTCTGTTCGTTGGTTGTTTTTAAAATGTAATTTGACCTCTTACAAGGTATTAAGTAATTCGTTTATAGTTTATGGATATGCACATGGTCAGGACTTCGTACTAACATGAAAGAATATATCAATATCAGGATTAATATTTTAATAAATAAGCGAATTTAGAAAAAGTAAACATATACACAAGTGATTACATTAATGACTGCTAATAAATTCACAATTTTAGTATCCGTACTTTTAATGACTCATTATACCGACATCATGAATCCTGAACAGTTTAAATACATGTACCTTACAAAGAAAAGTCGTTTATGTTCGTGTATCTTCAGCTTCATTTTCCCTACGTTCCGGCAATTGTTTAGGTTACTGAAAGTTCGAGTTCAAAGACCAGCAAAGATGCCATGATTAACTAGTTAGAGCAAGAGGTTTGAATTCATGTGATCATTATTTACACTCTTTATCGACACTAATATCTGTAAGTCACCCTTAGGGGAAGCTGGTGTTAGTATCATAATTCATTCAAATTTAAAATTGATGTGAATAACTACAATGCGAGTTACCGTTTAAATGGAAACTAAAAATTTACAGCTTAATTAAATAGAATAAATAATAATAATAATTAAACTAAACTAATCTAAAACAAAATAAGAATTAAACTTTCTACATCACAATCCTCTCCCTTTAGAAAAAACAAAGGAATTGCATCAATCACAGCAAGTTCGAAATTTCCTCATCCTTACTTTTAACGTTATATTGACAATTAGTCATTCACAGTTTAAATACAGATACATTACAAGAAAAAACAAAACATTTATTTTCTTATATATTCCGTTTTATATTCTCTAAATTCTGGATCCACTTCAGGATAACGGAAATTCTTGAAGTTGTAATAACAGCTAATCTGTGATAATTAAACAAAACAATCATGTGATCATCATGTGCATATAAACTAAAAAATGATGTGATTAGCTAGAAAGTGAGTTAGCATTTAAGTGTAAATTAAAGACTAGCAGCTTAAATAAGCGATAGAATGAATAATAAATGACCAGTAAACAAATTCATAACAAAATAGAATTTGCTACCTTACGCTTCTTGCGATTTAGACAAAGGAAGTGATTACATCAGTCCTTTTAAATTCCAAATTGTAGTATCCTTACTTTTGACGCCCTCATTATACTGACATCATGAATCCTTTACAGTTTCAGTACAGATAACTTGAAGAGAAACAGTTCACGTTCTTAAATCTTGAGGAAGTGCTTGAGTTCGAAGATTAGCTAGGTTGAGCAAAAGACAGATTAGTGATCAACATATTACGTAGAAAGATGAGATGTCGACACACCAGAATAACTCCTTTATTCTAGTTCCGACATTTAATTTTATGAAAATGTGGACGACGAGTATTTCTTCGGGTGTCGGAAAATCTTAGAAAATGTACATTTTCATTTTAGACATAAAATAGTCTTATCATTAACATGATATAATCTTTAATTGATATAAAAAAATGGAATAACATAAGAAGTAATTTTGGACAAGTCCATTCCAAGTTACAATAAATTCTGGAGTAAAACTATATACTGCAGAAGATAATGCATGTATTTATAATAATAATAAGTTTACTACTTTTAATTGTGGCAGAAAGACTTACGGTTGTGTAAGCTTCTCGCTGTTGCTTGCGATGCATTAAGGTTAGATATTGCCTCCTGTATAACATCTCTAATTGGTTTCGTTTGTTGGGTATTTTGTTAGTAAAATGTCCTTTATTGACATCTTATAAAAAGAAACAAGTACCAAAAGAGTTTGCATATAGTTTGTGAATGAGTTTGGCTAGAAATTCCTACTAACATGAAATAACAATATACCAACAATAGCGGGATTAATATTTCTATAAGTAAAAGGAATATGAAAAAACTACAAAACAAAATTATTAAAGCACAGAATAAAACTTGTCCACTATTTCTCGTGAGTCAACTTATTGAAGCTCAGTTTTTGTTCAAAAGATTAAAAATTTATATTAATATTATTTAAACTCTTTTTTGCAACATTAATATCCAAGTTACCGTACGGAGAAACTGATGTCAGTCTCATAATTTATATAAACTTAACTGACGTAATTATCTTAAAGGTGAGTTAGCGTTTAAGTGCAAATTAAAAAGTTCGACCTTAACTAAACGATAGAAGAAAGAATTTGCTACCTCACATTCCTCCCCCTTTCGAAAAGAAATGATTACATTAACCACTCCGTCTAAATTTCCAATTTTCGTATCCTTACTTTTAAGTCCCTCATTACGCTGACATCATGAATCCTTTACAGTTTAATTAGATACCTTTAAATAAAAATTGTTTACGTTCTTGAAATCTTGAGCTTCTCAAACTTCCTGCTCTAATTCACCTTACATGAAGTTCACGAGTTCAAAGACCAGCTAGATTGAGCTGGACACAAGTTATTAGTAAGATACATCAAATGAAGAGTAGAGACACCAGAACAACTTTATCTTGTGGAGGGGGGGAATCTGCAAGCCTTCTATCGATATTTATTTTTCTGTAAATGCCTAAAACGATGAACATTTCTTCTTTTTTCACTTTGAGACATACATACAAGTTTCCATTTTAGAGACCTAAAAATCATCCTATAATTACACGTAATATGCGATATTTTTAGTTAATCTAAGAATGAAGTAGCACACAGTATATTCGAACAGTCCTTCCATCTTGTAGAAATATAATATAAATATATTCTTAATAATATTATTATGTAGAAATTACGTACTTTATGACCGAGAGACTCTTGCGGTTGTAGGCTTGTCGCGCTCGCTTCTTCCAACAGTCCCTTCCATCTTGTAGAAAATATAATACACATATCCTTAATAATAGCATTATGTAGAAATTACGTACTTTGTGTCCGAGAGACTCTTGCGGTTGTAGGCTTGTCGCGCTCGCTTCTGCGACTTTTAACTGTTGGATCTTACTTTCAGTTTTAACATCAAAATAGTGCTGTTCGTTCATCCAAGCATTGGTGCGTATTTTGATTAGTTGGTTCCAAAATGTCCTTCTCTGGTGTCAAATATTAAAGCTTCCAAACAAATCGCATATAGTTAATGAACATGTCCATATCTTTCTACTAACAAGAAAGAACCACATACTATCACTATTAATATTTCTATAAATAATAAAATTTAAAAAAAAACAACTATTTATACAACTGCAAAAATATCAAAACCGACATGACTACATCTTCACTATCTCTCATAAACTAACTCAACGAAGCTGATGACAGGGTTTTATTTACTGTATCACAATTCACGTGATCGTTATTTACATACTCTTTTGTAATATTAATAATATCTGTAAGTCACCGCTAGGGGAACTGGTGTCGGTCTTATAATTCATGCGAACTTAAAATTGATGTGATTAACCAGAAGTAAAGTTAGCGCTTAAATGTAACCTAAAAATTTAACTAAACGATAGAATGAATAACAAATAAACGTAAACGAAATAGAAATAAAATTATTTACCTCACAACACTGTATGGCTGTCTAGAGTTCAATGAAAACAAACAAATGCAATAAATACAAAATAAATGTAGTTGAAAATGAATAAAACAGAAAAAGAGCTATTTTTTTGGACTGAACGTAATGTAAATATACAATTTATGTTAACTTTATCTCTCTTATTTTACATCAAAATTAAGGATGCTCTTTTTTTCGTTTTAATTTAATATCGTATTTTTTTTTCTTACTTTAACTTTAGGTACTGCATGGCAGTTTGGCAGTATACCCTACCTAAAGTTCGATG